TAGGCTGATGATGATGATGATGATGATGATGATCTCTTGGTATCGGCGAGCAATGTCCTCTGACAAAGCGCTTTTTATACTTGTACCACAATTGCCGGGGGTTGGAGAGTCCGCAGGTGCTTATCATAATCACAAAGAGCTCTCTCAACGTAGTCGCTGACCGGCACAACATTGCGCACTCCATCGTTGCGTCCCAGTGGCCGTCGTCTTCAAGCAGCTTCATCGCCTCACATGCTTCTTGAAAAGTGGCCTTTTCCTGCCCATCGACGATTTTGAGCGCTTGAAAACTGGTAGTACCCCGGATTCTAGTAATAGCAACAGCAACCGTACACAATAGCACTCAAAGTGTGTTATGTGTAAGGTATAAATTCTACCGTGGGCATCTAAGGCTTTCACACCAGGCCAACCGTCGACGGGTGCGCCCTGCACGCAACGTTTCATTGTTTTCGTGACGCATTCCACGTGCGAGCAAACTCGTCTTCCTGGCACAGTTGCTCGCTCCATACCTTGAATGATTTGTCAGCGTTTGTCAGTTTCCGCGTCGTCGTCTCCCATAAAATACACCTGTAAAAATTGTGGCTGTTCATTAGGTGATCATCACCCATATTGTGATGTAGTTGGCCATGCACTGTGAACGTTGGGGAAAATCCAGGCATTGCAAAAAGGTCAAGAAAACGCGAAATATTTGTTGAAGTAAATCTATAACGTCTATAGATGTCATTATCATTATATTAAACAATTGAGGAAGGAGGGTTGTCTAAGTCTGGAATTAAAAACTTAAAAAAAGGGAAACACAATTGACTATTTATTTTTTATTTTTATTGTGGCTTGGCCATGATGGCTTTTGAGCCATTCATTTTAAGTGATTTTAGTGATGAAATCAACTTTAAATATATTGTTCGTATGTTTTGCATCGCTTTACGCTTGAACTGTATTTAATTATCTATCAAAAATATCGGGAAACATTATTTTTCAATATTATACTGAAACCATATTAAATAATCTCCACAATACAAAAAGAGTATGGCGACAATTCTAACGAAAAAATGCTATAACTGTCACTGTCATGCTTGTCATCGAATTGTTGTTGTTATTTTTATCATTATATAACATTGTTTGTGCTTAGGTGCATGCATATTGCAAAGATTTCAATCGGCGTATTGTGTTTTTCTGAGATTTGTTTTTGAAGTTATACTTCTTTAGGCGCGTTATGAAAAAATGATGAGAGTGAAATTTTAAGATGCGCGCGCATCACTGTAACACAAAATTTTAACAGCATGAAGTTGGTCGCTTCAGAGATCAACTTCATGCTGTTACTTTTGTGTTTACCGCAGATTAAGAAAATCTACCAACAAAATAGAAATAGAATCTCTATTTAGTGGGTGCTAACGACTGCATTGTGAAGGCCTATCAAAAGTATTTATTAATCTGGAACAACGGAACCAAAGCGCGATTCAGGAGGCTACAGCGCCATCTCTTGACCATTGGTGTAGTAGAACCAAAAACCACATCTTTATTTTTTGTAATAAAGTAACAGTTATAGGTATTCATATTTATAATATCAAAAGTATTTATTAATCTGGAACAACGGAACCAAAGCGCGATTCAGGAGACTACAGCGCCATCTCTTGACCATTGGTGTAGTAGAACTAAAAACCACATCTTTATTTTTTGTAATAAAGTAACAGTTATAGGTATTCATATTTATAATATTTATCCACATGTTTCTAGTTTGTATATTCGGAATATCATACAAGTGCAAATCACATATGTTCTAATAAATTATATTCAGTAGCGATTTTAATTGAATATTTTGATTATTTATTTATTTTTTCAAATTAAAACTGAACTTTATTGACTGTGTCCTTTTCCAGACTTTTTATTAATTTATTGTAATTAATTATTTGCATGCAATTAAAAACTAATTTTAAACGATGCGAAAGAAGGATAACTTCTCACGCGCCTACATAAGTACACGCACCCATTTTTTTTATGTGACTTGGACTGTATTTAGACTTTCGAAATCTTTCTCTGCGACTGTTGAGTAGTGCTTGCCTAAGACTTCCGAATCTGATATTTTGCTGTGGATTTTGGACACGATTCTGTCCCATACTGTGGATTTTATTTAATTGTATCTACTATCTACGATATTGTGATCAACGATGTGGAATAAAAAATATATAAAAAGTGTTGCATATTTAATTAATATCCCATTAGTACATTATTAGAAATCCTTTTTTATACTTTGTTATTGCAGTGGGCATTTTCAAATTGTTAAGTACTTCTTACAGCACAGACATTGTATTTGAACTCAATAACTCTTGTCTGATAATAAGTATTTTGACGCGGTTGGTCAGTACCTACGCCAAAGAAAGAAAGAAAGCCAACTGATCATACATTGTAAAAAACATTTTTTTTTCGTCACTAATCTTCAGGACCGGTATACTTCTATAGTTCCGTTCCACGTATTTTTTATTTTGATATAAAAATACTCTTGAAAATACTTTTATAATTGGTTTTTGCATTACTTGGCCTACCAAGACCTACACATAACCTCCAAAACTTCAAAGTAGAATATCTATAAATCCAGACTTCCTATAATATAAGAAATAAGATGAATCAAATCAAGAATAGAAACTCTATAATTTAACATGCAGTTCATTTATATACGCAAGAAAAAATTTCAACAAAAAATTGTATGGGAGTTCGCCATTGTCCTTTGTCCGCCCCGAACAACGACATGTAAAAGCATGGGTTGTACGCAGTTTTAGAATTCACCTGTAATTAATGTATTTAAGGGTTCCACAGGCTCTTCTAAAACAGGAATGGCTACTTTGCCCCCAGAGCTACACATTCCCGCTCTCTCCTCATTCCATTTTAATGCCCCACAATGGTGACACACATTTTCCATGGTACGGCAAATTTTAATGAGCCTGTGGCTATTGTAATCCAATGTCCAGTCATATTCAAAACCATATTTTTCAAATAACCCCCAAGCATTTCTGGTAAGTGTTTGCCGGCACTCTGCTTGATGCTGAGCGACTGCGAGTCGTCTAGAATTTGTCTCATCTACTGTCTCGGAAGCACGCGGATTAGACATTAGCTGGGCATGATTTAGCCGTCGAGAAGTTTCTTCATCAGGTGTTTCAATGGCACGCTGAGTGGACATACGCTATGCGTTTTCTTGATGCCAAGTAGCTGCTACTTCAGGTGTCTCTAATGCACGCTGATTAGCCATAAACTGGGCATGCTCTCGCCGTCGAGAAGTTGCTTCATAAGGTGTTTGAGTGGATCACTGTGTGGCCATAGGCTGTGCGTTTTCTTGACGCGGAAAAGCTGCCTCATCAGTTGTCTCTGATGCACGCTGAGAAGCTATGCGGATAGGAATTTCCAGACGTCGAGCGTCAGCTTGCGCAGAAGTTTCTCCAGTTCTGACTTCTGCCTGACGTGTTGCTTGGTCACGTCTGCGCTGTTCAGTATCATAAGTAGATTCTTGCTGTCTTGCAATTTTCATAGATGAAGCTCTTTGTGAGCTCTGTGAACGATTTGGTTTACAATTGTGAGTCATAATTAGATACACAAAAAAATTATAACAATATCGTTGTCCTAGAAATATGTATGAAATATTAATCTATCAAAATAGCTTTGACATGAATGTCAAAAAATATGTACCTACTTAAACAAAATTCATTTGCATCGATTTTCCCATCGAAATAAGATATTTTCCCGCAGTAAAATGTAGCCTATGTGTTAATCCAGGGTATCAGCTAACTCGACACCAAATTTTATTAAAATCGTTCCAGCCGTTTAGACGTGAAGAAGTAACAAACATACACACTCACGTACTCACAAACATTCGCCTTTATAATATTAGTGTGATAAGCAATGCAGTGTTAATATTTGTCTGCAAGAAATATCTGGTGCAATGTTACAAGGGGCTCGAATACATTTCTTTTGGGAAATGAATATTTATATCCGTACCATTACCTCATGTTATGAGTCCCCATATCTAAGGCAAGATTCCACATAGGCTCAATATGCTAAAATTGCTGTCTTTTTGTCTTTAATTTTTGCAAGATTATATAAACATATACGAAGCTATTTATTTTGCCAAATGCATTTTCTATTTGGTCTATCCAATTAAGCTTACTATCTACATATAGACATTATAATTGTGGTTAAATTAAGCATAAAAAAAATCCTCTTTCTCATCCCCATCACCTTTATTTTTAATCTTATTTAAATACCATCTCTATATATCTCATCTAAATTTCAACTTAGTCTCACCTCAATTTCGTTTCAATCACATCTTACTTTTCTGTTTCTCATCTCCATCATCCTTATTTTTCACTGATCTCTCAGTCACATTTCATCTCAATATCAACATCATTTCATCTCTTCTTATCTCAATCTGATCCTTATCTCATCTCACATTTCAAATTTCATCTCAATATAATTTCTCTCATCTCACAAATCTTATCTCAATCTGATCGCATTCTCATTTCAATACCAACTCAAGCTCATCTCATTTTCATTATTAAATATTTACGGGCTTAAATTTACTAATTTTTGAGTTTCATCTAAATTGTACACAACATAAATTATTAAATCTATAATTTGTGTTGTCTGGCAATCGGATTTTAATAATTGTGTAGAACTGCATGGAAATACATATTACAACGTAGGACTTGTGTGAACAAAACTCCTATTAGTTCTGCCGTAGATAGCAAAGAGTGTCCCACTCGCGTTTATTCTACTGTTCTGTGACATTTAAAGCCGTACAACTAATGAGCAAAAAATCTAAGTAGTTCTACCGTATGACTGCTAAGTAGAACTACTGGGATTTTTGTGCCAAAATCTCCATGCCAAGAAACATTAGAATGCATCAGAACCATATTATAATGCAAAAAAGAAAAATATAAATTCTAAAAAACAAAGCTGTATGAACTCAATATCCTTTTCCATTCCATAAAGAGGAATTTAAATAAAAAATAATAGTCAAAAAATTTAAAAAAAAACTAAAAATAAAAACAAAGTGTTAGTGTGCTGCTTTATTTTAAATGGCTGTATTTACTTTCTCATTTTTAATTAATGATTACCGGTAATATACAAACTGTCTATTAAAACAAACAAATCTCTACACGTATGCAAGGCACACGTAATATGGACTAATTGGAAACAGTGTTGTTCATCATGAAAATTACACTTGGTTCAATAGGTTTTCTATTAGCTGAGCAGTTTTAAAATATATTTGTTAACCATGGTGATGGTAACGGAGGATGAGAGTCCTCGGGGCGGCGGCGCTCGTACTCACGAGGTGAGGACCTTTGTTCACCTTATCTATATTTTATTTATAATGCCCATTGCCTGGATGCTATTGTTCACTGGATAAAATCAATTTGAGTAGCTCTTTATTAGTGCCTAGGTTTTCATAATAATAATATGGAAACCTGTATACCTTCGCTCTTCAATCTTGGTTTTCCTAACAGATTTAAGCAAAGTATAATATTTAAAGAACTGATTCTGAGATGATTTTCCAAACTTGAAACTAAATTGGACAAGAGTCTCTTTAATATACCTTCAAAGAGCATGTTAATATCCTACTACTGTCAAATGTAGGTTACGATATTTATGTCAGAATCAAGTCCAATGTAGGGGTTTGTTTGTAGAAAATAATCATGAATGGTCAGATTAATAATATTAGGATATCAGGAGGAGGTCTTGATTGAATTAATGAACTCCCTTTTTTATTATATTTGTTAAGCCTTTTATTGATAAGATTATTAGCTTTTTATTTATAGCCACATTTTTCATAGAGCGTAGACTCCACCAGGTTGGGGATTGGATCAGGGTAGGCAATGGTGAGAGTGATATTTTTGATATTGTAAGTGTCTATGGAGGCAGCCTACCAGCGGGTGGGTCATAGGCTTGTTTGCTACCCTTATAACATAAAAAAGTAGTAAATACTTAACTTCCTGGATCTTAGTTAAGTGTATTTGGGATTATTGGGACAGTAATGACTTCAGTGAGTGAACACTTAATTTTTAAACTTAAAAAATCAATCTATACTCAAATTTATTGATTTAGTTTAGGATTTTACAAGCACATAAGAATGAAGAAAATCTTTTTGATTAATTTCAAATCTATGCTGGAGACTGTACTGAGAAGAACTAGCAAGATACTTGGCAATAGCTGCTTTTTTCCTTGTTTTGTTTCATACAGTGTTGTTGTATTTTTATTATTGAGCATTTATATGCTAGATGTTTAAATCTTAAAAGCTATAATAAGATCTCATAATTAAAACTCATAATTTAAACCCTTAGATTAAAACAAAAAGGGAAGATATGGCACTTGCATCTCAAAAGTGATCCGCTTAAATTGTGGTGCATAACCATAATTTGCTTTAGTCTCAATTGGACATTCAAACATGCTGCATGTGCACTCAATATAACAATATTTTGCATATATTCTGTGTTATAAAGATAAAAAAAATGCTTTTGATGCTTTTATAAAGAACACATATAGTTCAAAATCAAATAACAAATGCCTCGGCGTGGAGGCGGTATGAAATTAAAAAATAAATCAAAATTCAATATCGTTTATTCAGTCTAGGCTGTTACAAGCACTTGTGAATGTCGAAAAGCTACGCCATCGGTTCGCAAATCTACGGCGGGAGACCTTGTACTGAGAAGAACCGGCAAGAAACTCAGCAAGGGCTGTTTTTTTCTCCCTGTATTGTATACAGAGTCGTCAAATTGAAAAATGACTTCAATATGAGGTAACTCATAAAGTCACTTTCCATTACAAATGCTAATATAATAAAAATTATGACTATATAAAAAACTGGTTTAACAAAGTTTAGGAATGCCGTGTCCTGCTGTTTAGGCAAAAAAAAATGAACGATTAAAGTTTAGTACAACGGTTAATAGTATCCAATGAAGCAAGAGCAGACTCATCTCCGCTGGCAGCACCCGTTCACGAGCATGACGCATGAACCAGCCATCGCTTCGCTCAACCATTTTTTAGGGAACGCAACGACCCGCCTCACACGACACCACCGAAGAGATTTTTAAGAGAGCATGACTACTCATAACCACAAATGGATACTATGTTACAAACATAGAAAAAAAAATATATAAGTACCAGAGTACATTATTATAACAAATTATAAACATAACGGCAGGACACATGCATGTGATTGATTACCCATACACTGTTGTCGATTCTGGCACTACTCTCCCAACCCAAAACCAAATCCAACATCAGTCCCCCCTTTTCAGTCTGTATAAAGAATGACAAGGATACACCGCTGCAAAACCAAGTTCAGGTCTAGAAAACCATACCGGAATCCACACCGCCATTAAATCTTTATCAGATAAATAATAAATGTTCACTTACATATTGATTGCTGTGTCATACAGTATAAATACAAGTTGTGTAATGTAAAATACAATCTAAATTTAATAATAATTATCATTACAATAATAAAGTAGTATAGAGCAGACTCATCTCTGCTGGCAGCACCCGTTCACGAGCATGACGCATGAACCAGCCATCGCTTCGCTCAACCATATTTTAGGGAACGCAACGACCCGCCTCACACGACACCGCCGAAGAGATTTTTAAGAGAGCATGACTACCCATAACCACTCGAACCAAACTGCAAATAGTTACTTAGAGTTAAGGTAATTTATCTGTACGACACTGCAAACAAATACAAAACAATTTTGCAGTTACAGCCATGCAGTTTTGTCATTCAAGTATTCTTTAATAGTATAATAGCCTTTCTTAAGTAAACAACTTTTAATGTGACATTTGAACTCATTTATGGGTAACTCAAGAACAGCATCAGGAATTTTATTGTAAAAATGTATACCTTGACCCATAAAAGATCGGTAAACCTTCTGTAACCTGTAGGGTGGCAATGCAAGCTTGTTTCTATTCCTTGTGTTAAAATTGTGCACGTTACTGTGTTTGATATACAAATTGATATTATTTTTAACGAGGAGTATGCAATTGTAAATGAATTGAGAAGCAACAGTCAAAATGCCAATTTCTTTAAATTTTTCTCTAAGAGATGTTCGGCTACTCAATTGATAAATAGATCTCACAGCTCTTTTTTGTAAAATGAATATACTTTCAATATCAGCTGCTGTTCCCCAGAGTAAAATGCCGTATGATAAGATACTATGAAAGTAACTAAAATATACAGTCCTGGCAGTATCTATATCAGTAAGTTGTCTTATCTTTCTTATGGCATAAGCTGCTGAACTAAGTTTACCAGCCAAAAGCGTAATGTGATGACTCCATTGCAGTTTTGAGTCTATCGTTATACCCAAGAATGTAGTCGAGTCTACTAAATCTAATTTTTCATTATTTAATTTAATTCCAATATGCTCAACTTTTACATTAGGTAAGGAAAATTGAATACACTTGGTTTTATTAGCATTTAACTTTAAATTATTGACATTAAACCATTGCAGAACTTGCGAGAGAGCATTATTCACATCGTCATAGTTGTTTTTGCGCCTGTCAACGTTAAATAATAAAGATGTGTCATCAGCAAATAATACAATCTCACACAAATTTTCCACAAAAAATGGCAAATCATTTACATATACTAGAAACAGGAAGGGTCCTAAAATTGAACCCTGGGGAACGCCCATTTCCACATGAGATCCAGATGATCTAACACCATTTACCTCTACAGTTTGTATTCTGGAACTGAGGTACGACTGTATCAATTTATATGCAGTACCTTTGACTCCATAATGACTCAATGTGTGGAGTTAGTTCGAAATAAAGGTTCACTGCTCGTTCCCTGTAGGTGATAGTGTGACTATATGTTGACCTGACTTCTTAATAACATTCGTGCCAAATTTGAAGTAAATCCATGCAGTACTTTTTGAGTTTATCTTGGATTTAAACATTCTGAGAAATAAACGAAAATTCTAACAACTATATTTTTGGCATCGGTATCGATTGTAGATCACACCCCAAGTATTCTTTAAAAAAAATATTCAATGCATAGTTTTGGCTTGCCTACCATTTTATAATATGTATAAAATTTATATTATTGAAGTTTTTGAAAAACTGTTATTATTTTAAATTAAATTTAAATAAATTAAATGATTATGGACCCTTTTGATAACGACTAGGACATCGTAATGTACATGTCCTCTCATTGTCTCCGTTTGTCAATATACACCATACCCATAATACTTTCATGCATTCGGAAATCCACTCATCCCACATTATTCGTTACTGTAATTAATTTAATAATTTTATTTCCTACAACAGTCTGGCGAGGAGGCACGAGAGAGCGATACGCCGACATTGCACGAGAGGCTGGTAGCATACGTGCATGCCCTCGATTTCAGTAATGTATGTGATCAGCTCATTTACATTCTAATATGTATAGATTCTTTTAAATATATGGGAGGGAAGTACATTTCTAGTGAACGATTTTATCAATTCAGATTCCGTGTAGAGTCACACGAGTCACATAGCGGAGGCAGGGTGAGATATATCGCGGAGCGTTTGCATTCAATCTGTGACTTTTAGTTTTCACTGTTATAAACGAGCGTTTTCTTTTCGGGCGGTCGCATAGGATGCGCGGTCCGGCGTGTGGGGCGAGCACTCGTATGCGCGCGTGCGGTCCGGGGCCGCCGCGGGCGCCGTGCGGGTGCTGCTCGCGCCGCCGGAACGCGGGCCCGCGCCCGCCCTCCTCGACGTCGAGAGCGTCGACCGCGCGCCCGTCGCGCCCGGGGAGGACGATCCCCCCGATCCGCCGTTCGGCTCCGAGTCGGACTCGGCCGGCGACGACGACGACGACGAAGACTGGGAGGCGCGCGTCGCGAGCGGCGCCCCGCACGCGGATCACGCGCGGCTGGCGGCCGACGCGATCGAGGCGCTGCGCCGGGTGCGGCTCGCGCGGCTGGCGCGCGGCCGGCGGGACGAGCGGGCGGCCATCGCGGCGGAGGCGGCGCGGCTGCGGCGGGCGCTGGCGCCGCTCTGGCTGTGGGCGGGCGCGGGCGCGGCGGAGGCGAGGCCCGGCCCCTGGCTGCACGCCACGCTCGAGGCGTACGCGCCGGTGTCGGTGCGGCGATCGTACGCGCGCCTCGTGGCGGAGCTAAGGCGCGCGGCGCCGCGACTGGCGGAGCGGCTCACGGGCGTGGGCGGGGAGGTGGGGCGCGCGCCGGCCCCGCCGCGGGTGGGGGCCGCGGCGCCGGGCCCGTGGGTGGCGTGGGCGGGCGGCGGCCGGTGGGCGGGGGCGGGGGCGCTGGGCGGGCGGGTGCACGTGCGGGCGCTGGGCGGGGAGGGCGCGCCCACGGCGGCGCCCGACGTCTGGTGCGCGGCCGTCGCCGGCTCCGTGCGCGCCGCCTTCGCGGACGTCCTCGCGGAAGCCGGGTCAGTGGCTAGAACGGTCGGTGGAACACAGGAGGGAATGCGAATATATTCAACTACCGGAATGAAACGTTTCGAATGTTATTGAAGTTATACTTCTTTAGCCGCGCTATGAAAAAATTATGAGAGTCAAATTTTAAGATGCGCGCGCATCACTGTAACACAAAAGTAACATAATGAAGTTAGCCGCGGGCGCGTTATGAAAAAATGATGAAAGTGAAATTTCGGAATGCGCGCGCATCACTGTAACACAATAATAACACCATGAAGTTGGCCGCGGGAGCATCATGAATGTTAGTGTTTAATAATGGTGGATTAGATTAGACCATTATTAGACATCTGTTCGAAAGGTACTTTGAACGATCCACGGAGCTCCATAAGATGATCGCGTTGTCAAAAACAATGTAGGCACGCTCGTCGCCTCTGATCACTGTTTTCATATTTATAATATTTATCCACATGTTTCTAGTTTCTATATAGATACAACGTGTTTTAGTTACTTACAAGTGCTGATTACATATGGACTAATAACTTAAATTCAGTAGTGGTATTAATTGAATATTATTTTAATTTTTAAAAACTGAACTTAATTGACTGTGGTAACTATCCTTTTCCAGTTCTTTATTATTTTATTGTAATTATTAATTATTTGCATGCAATTAAAAAATATTTTTAATGATGCTAAAGAAGTATAACTTCTCACGCGCGTACATAAGTTACACGCATCCATTTTTTAAAAAATAATTGAAAGTAGATCATTCATATATATAACTAGAAGTTTTTTCGGGATAAAAGTAGCTTATGTGTTGTTATTCTAAGGTGTCAGCTAACTCTATACCAAATTTTATTAAAATCGCTCCAGTCGTTTAGACGCGAAGAAGTAACAAACATACACACTCGCAAACTTTCGCCTTTATAATATTAGTGTGATTTAATATTTTCGGACCGACCCTCGGCTCACGCGTGCGATGTCGTCGACAGGGATCGTCCGGTGATAGTGGGCGGGTGCGGGTGGGGTGCGAGCGTGGCGCGGGCCCTGTCGAGCGGCAGCGGGGCGGGGAAGAACGTACGCGGCGCGCTGCTCCTGGGGCCCGCGCTGCTGACGGCCGAGGGCTCGCGGGAGCCCCCCGCGCCCCGCGACCACACGCGCGTCCTCATGGTGGTGGGGGAGCGGGCGCCGCACTCGGGCCGCGCGCGCGCCTGCGCCGACCTGCTGCCCGGCGTCACCGGCACCGGCGGCGGCGCCGCGCCCGCGCGGGTGCTGGTGGTGGCGGGCGCGGACGACCAGCTGCGGCTGCCGGCGCTGACGCTGCGCCGGAAGGGACTCACGCAGCGCGCACTCGACGCCGCCATCGTGGTGAGTCGCGTTAACGTTACCTCAGGTTACGGACTCACCGGATGACCGGTTGCAGCTCCCCGTGCATACGTTGCGACGGTAGGCATTGACGCAGGGCGCCCTGGATGCCGCCATCGTGCCGAATGACATTACAATAATACACTCGCAGCTCAGGCTCGCCCGCAATTGCGTCTTCTGACACATGCGCTGCAGCGGCTGGTATTCACGCAGCATGCTCTCATCGCCGCCGTCGTGGTGAGTGACGTGACTTTCATATACCCTTTGCTCAAGTTATAGAATCACCGATCTACCGACTCCGTCATAGACATAGAATAGACTGAGTGTTCCTTGATCGACTCTCGGATGAATTCGAAGCAACGCGTCCCTAGATAACTTTTTTCTGCCCATTATTCACAAGATATACTTTTTTTGGTTCTAGAGACTAATTAGTTTCATGCAGGTATTGCTCAGCCCGTTCTTTATGACTCATAACGATTTTAGGTGGCTAAACTACAAACCAGCAAAATTCTGTTGGACTTGCAACTCACGAAGCGATTTACTGTCGCGTCAAAGCTGCGAGATCGCGATCGTAACTTGCGTAAAATATGGAAATGCAAATTTTTCGGCTTGATTTACGTCCACGGAGTGCGTGGCACCCAGGACGTATTTCGTCTAGTCATCTGTTATTTAATTTATTATAATTCCCGTAGTCGCATCGGTTACGGGACGGCAGAAAATGTTGGCTTCGTGAATTTTGAAATAAAACAACTCTGCAGCCGCCTCGTGGTGGCTGCGGGATTAAACCGCTGCGTGAGTTTTTAGCCTTACTCGACTGCGATGTTAAGTAACATATTAAGTGTTCTTTCGAATTGTCGATCCAGTTCGAATTCAATTTTTACAGTATCCTTTTCCTCATGTCGGGCGATGACTTAAGTCTGAAATATACTTACCTATCTGTCGTGTTCAGAAGCATTGTTCCGCTTCAACTTCGTCGAAACTCAGTTGTAACTAAATCTGCCTGATATGTGTGGAGTTTTGAGTGTGGATATTATAATTTTGTGGAATGATTGCAACGCGCAGGAGGAGTGCGTGCGCTGGATCCACGACGCCTGCGACGCTTGCGACGCGCCCGAGCCCTCCGCGCATACTCACACCGACCTACACGCCGACACCTTCATATCCACCATCGGTATGTCTCACGCGCTGCATATACATATCTGTCGCTGGATCCACGACGCCTGCGACGCTTGCGACGCGCCCGAGCCCTCCGCGCATACTCACACCGACCTACACGCCGACACCTTCATATCCACCATCGGTATGTCTCACGCGCTGCATATACATATCTGTCGCTGGATCCACGACGCCTGCGACGCTTGCGACGCGCCCGAGCCCTCCGCGCATACTCACACCGACCTACACGCCGACACCTTCATATCCACCATCGGTATGTCTCACGCGCTGCATATACATATCTGTCGCTGGATCCACGACGCCTGCGACGCTTGCGACGCGCCCGAGCCCTCCGCGCATACTCACACCGACCTACACGCCGACACCTTCATATCCACCATCGGTATGTCTCACGCGCTGCATATACATATCTGTCGCTGGATCCACGACGCCTGCGACGCTTGCGACGCGCCCGAGCCCTCCGCGCATACTCACACCGACCTACACGCCGACACCTTCATATCCACCATCGGTATGTCTCACGCGCTGCATATACATATCTGTCGCTGGATCCACGACGCCTGCGACGCTTGCGACGCGCCCGAGCCCTCCGCGCATACTCACACCGACCTACACGCCGACACCTTCATATCCACCATCGGTATGTCTCACGCGCTGCATATACATATCTGTCGCTGGATCCACGACGCCTGCGACGCTTGCGACGCGCCCGAGCCCTCCGCGCATACTCACACCGACCTACACGCCGACACCTTCATATCCACCATCGGTATGTCTCACGCGCTGCATATACATATCTGTCGCTGACCACTGACGATGACAGTGGTATAATACGTCCTTGTTTCATTTGCACTGAACGTTTTAGTTGTATTCAATGTACAGTATTCAAAATATAATTTATAAAAAGAACGTTGGCCATGACTTAGTGTTAAGTTCAATTATAGTAAAAATAACAAACGATGGACCCGAGTGACAACCTTGTGATACTCCTCAGTAAAAATAACAATTAATTTTAAATCGAACCTATGAGTACCAAAAATCTTGATAATTTCAACTCTTATCAATGTAGGAAGTCAACGTGCATAACGTTATTACTTAAATTAAAAAATATATATAGGGTGAAATTGAATGTTTCTATGAAACTTCGTGAGATTGTTGGGTTATGAGTATTGAGTATGCCTGTTTTTTTTTCGGATTTTTTTGAAGTATATTTTTTTTATGTATTTATTTATAATTTATGTATTTTTATGTCCTTTCCTCCTTTTGAGCATTTATTCATTTTAAACAAACAAACTTACATATCCAGTGAAAAACAACTAATAAATAAGCACTTCTAAAACGGAAAAACATTAAATTCCACCGCGGGTCAACGACCGACCGCGCCCGCCAGCCGTTGAGTGAGTAGGTACCTAGCTCTACACAGAGCTCAGCTGACTCGTTTGATTCCACACAATACAATAAAATCGTCTTAGATGCCTTTATTGAAATTGAAATAATAAGCACAAATGTCATCTTCTCTTAAGCAGAGAAAAACTTTAAAAGTTAATAATAATTTTGTCACGATTGGAAATAGGCAAATGTTAAACAAAAAGAAATACTTATTGCAGTTCAATACTTGGGTCAGAATGAAATTTATAACCCGGTATTCAAAAGTACTTACGAGACCGGCGATGTAGGTAGGTACAACGAGGAAGGAGGAACATATTCATTTTTTTCACTAGAACTTTTTATCAAATCAATCATACTGGTAGTACACAATTATATATATATATATATTTTCAATTAGTTGTTTCTAATCAAAAAGTATTTACACTAGCAATAAAAAGAGACTTAAATTATTATCTGCAAAATTGTTGCTCTAAACCACCATTTCGCTGCAAACAAAGGTAGGCATGTTTGCGGACGTGTCTTTTCACCTTTTTTAAAGTGTCCCTATCACTACTCACTGCACAAAATGCAACTTCTATGGTTTGCGGACTCATTCGTAAACCAATCTCTAAATAGGTATTCTTGGTTCGTATACCGAGGCATAATGAAATTATCACAGTGTATGTCACTAAGTCAAAAGATGATCACGCGCACGCGCGATTGATATACTTGCGACTGCGTTTTGCATGCAATCAAAGCAAACCACCGCGTGCGGGGAAGAGGGGAGGTGGGCGGAATTCACATCATCAAAGACGCCGCAACCGGCGCTAGTTGCCAGCGTGCCGCCCGTGCTTGCCGCAAAACAACATATTATTACGTGTGTGTGTGTGTGACTGTGGCTGTGATTAAATGTGTTGGGAATTTCATGACGTGGGCAAATCAAACACGAAGAGTTCCTTCCTTCACTAAGCTCGTAAGTTATACCGATTTGCTCTGTATGATTTTTCCCAATTTAATAAGCCGTTTGTGCTTAAGTTTTAATTAAACGAGGCAACTAACATTAACAATAAAAAAGAAGTTCTTACACTAACAGACAGGCTTTACCGATTTAAAATCGTGACAGTCATATTAACTTTATAGGATTTTTAATTGCTCTAACGGAAGATTTATTTTATTGATTAATTACCTGTGCTTTATGAAACAATATTCAAAGGTATTGTGTATCAGTGAATAAATAATTATAATATAGCATCTAAGACTATTTTATTGTAATGTTTTTAAATAGTGTGGATCAAAGCGGAGAGTAGGTAAGTGCCGAGTCATCTGTGCGTGTAGTAGGTACTATAGAGTTCTACCCAGAAGGGATAGAACCTGGGAGCGTAGATGTTAATTGAAAGATACTGATAGAGATAAGTTATTTATTTTGTTTTATCATTCAGGCTAATATAAAAGTATTTTATCTAAATACGAGAGGAATTCTTGGCGCCTGAAGATCTAATAATGAATGGAACCTTCTATCAAAAGACAGACGATTCCTCATTTCAAATCTTAAAATCATGACATTATCTTTTTAATATAACTGCCAACCGTAGGCATTGCAAAAGCAAAGAGTTTACCTAAACAAGGAGGCTGCAACGTTAAGGACGTTACAGTACCTACACAGGCGGCCGCGGTCGTCGCCCCGACCGGCGCTGATCTCGACTGGAGGCATAATGAAGGCATTCATTAAGTTTCCGTTTTTTTAGTAGTGCTTATTTTAAGTTGCTTTATAACTTCTATGTAGACGTGTTTAAAATGAATAATTACTCATAAGGAAGAAATGACAAAAAAATAACCAAAAAAAAATTAAAAAACTAAAAATTTTATTTTAAAAAATCCGAAAAAAATCATGCATACTCTATACACGTAACCCAACAGTCTCACGAAGTTTCATAGAAACATTCAATTTCACCCTGTATAAAATCGGATGCCTTACGGAAATCGCCTTACGGCTTTACACTACGACCTTCACTGACACACTTAAATGGACTTCCCATTTGATAATTTTTTGATGTCTTTACTTCTTATATTATGTCAGGAAAACTATTGGACGATACAAAAGATCTGTAAACAAGTCAATTTGGAGTTATTCATAGAGTACATCACGCTATAACCCCTCACCCGTCCTTGTCACAGAACGAATCTTTCAATCATATTTACGAATCTAAAATGTGACGACAGATTTTTCTTCCACAAACCATCAAATTAAAACAACATTTCCGAACAAATTAAAATCCATACAGATAGTTTTTTTTAAATATTTTCCAGTTTTTTGATAATAGTTAGATTTTGAATGTGACGGCACGAAACTTAGGACCCTCCCACCCTGGGTTACACAATGTCACACTTTGGGGAGTGACTCCCTCGCCTTTAAAGCGTGATGTACTTTCCGGATGATCGTTGAATAAAGTATGATGTAATGAGTGTATGTGAGAGTATTTGTCGATGTGTATAGGCGCGGACTCGTCTGAGGAGGAGTACTTACACCTGCCGCCCGCCCTCCCCGCGCCGCACACTCCCGCGCCCGCGCCGCCCAGGTAACTATCTATCTAATATATAAAACTAGCAAACCGGTCAACCAAATGTTCACAAAAAAAAAAAATGTATTTAATTAATTGAGAACTTCGGAGATTTTGTGTGGTTTCGTTTGAAATAGAAATCACGTGATTTCTCGAAAACCGGAAGTGCTACGTTACTCACATCCGGTTTGTAGTCTTATCAGACTATTCTCAACTTATAACTTAAACATTCTCTTTATCTATCTCTTACGGTTTGGCTGCTGAAACAGCACCACGGACGGACGGACGGACGGACGGACTTGTCCAATAGATGAGAGATTCTCGTGTAGCGGTGTTTGTGGTTAAACTCCTCCGAAACGGCTTTCCGGATTCTCATGAAATTTTGTTTGCATATTGGGTAGGTCTGAGAATCGGACGACATCTATTTTTCATCGCCCTAAATGTTGAGGGTAATTTTTTTCAATGTTAGATACAAAAATACATACAACCCTGAATTTTCATCTTTCTACCACCGACCCCTATTTTTTTATGGCGGTACGAAGTTCGCTGGGTCGGCTTGTCTATATATATAAAACTCAAAGGTGACCGACATAGTGATCTATCAACGCACAGCCCAAACCACTGGACGGATCGGGCTCAAATTTGGCATGCAGGTAGATGTTATGACGTAGGCATCCGCTTAGAAAGGATTTTGATCAATTCTACCCCCAAGGGGATAAAATAGGGAACGGAATGGGTATGAAACTTTGTCAATTTTAAACCGATCGGGCTGAGACTTTGCATGCAGGTATGAGAAGAATCATAGATAAATGTCATTGTGTATAATACAAGCCTGAGAATAAAAACTGTAGTCTACACTTCAGCTCTACACCGAAGCGAAGCGAGGGCGGGCCACTAGTTGCTTCAATATAACCATTGACTGACTATTGTGCTACCGCGACCCTAATCTTCCGTGTCCAATTTTCTCTAACATTTTTCAAGCTACTGATTTTTTTCTAGTAAAATTTTCTTTAAATGCTTATCTTTATATATATAATTCTTCTGTGAGTGTATATGTCACTGAACTTCTCTTAAACGTGTAATATTAAAAAAAATGGGTGCGTGTACTTATGTAGGCGCGTGAGAAGTTATCCTTCTTTGGCATCGTTTAAAATTAGTTTTTAATTGCATGCAAATAATTAATTACAATAAATTAATAAAAAGTCTGGAAAAGGACACAGTCAATAAAGTTCAGTTTTAATTTGAAAAAATAAATAAATAATCAAAATATTCAATTAAAATCGCTACTGAATATAATTTATTAGAACATATGTGATTTGCACTTGTATGAAACTCAAACACGTATTCCGAATATACAAACTAGAAACATGTGGATAAATATTATAAACTAGCGGCCCGCTAGTCGCTAAAGCGACCAACTTCATGGTGTTAATTTTTTGTGTTACATGATGCGCGCGCATCTTAAAATTTCACTCTCAACAATTTTTCAGAACGCGCCTAAAGAAGTATAACTTCAAAAATAAAAAGTTTGTTGTGAAAATTACTTTAAATGGATAGGTCGAAATTAATTAAATAGAATACTCGGGCGCCAGACCTACCACATTATTATACCATATTAGCCGGGAAAGCAAAGGACTATTAATCGCGAGGGAAGCCTAATGCAAATCCATGTTCATTTTGGGTTTGTAATTTATTTAAATTTACTGCAAAATTACTTACGTCCAAAAGGGTTACTGCTAAATTTAGAAACTATTCTACACTATGACTACCAAGAATTAAATGAAAATTTACCTTTAATATGGGTGCTGGTACAACCATAAATTTGAATATTACCGACTTTGCTGCATCTTTGGAATTATGTATGTCTGGTGTTGCAAATATGTAAAGGATGGCCGTTTTTAGGTCCCGTGGGTTCACCTCCACATCACGGGAAACATCGTGATTTGAATACGATTTCCAAATAAAATTTCAAATATAAAAAAAACGCTTTTCGCTGAAAATAAATATTCCTCAGATTAGCACATGGCTCACAACAAAGAAAAAAAAGTAAAACTAAGGAAAACTCTCAAGGTTCTTACCGTTTTTTAAACAAATTAAGCTTGGAATAAGATCGCCGCCATTCCGCGCAAACAGTGTGAAATATTACATCTGTAAAAAAATCAATCCTTATGTAAATCATTGAAATATATGAATTAAAACACTTTTCGAATTTGGAAAAACACTTACCATTAAAAAATAATTGACAATCTAATGAATTATCATGTGAAAAATTACGATTATAATTTTTACATGTTTCTCGTAAGAATTTTGGTCGTGAAGTGAAGTGACAGTTCTTTTCTTCAGTTTGTCTTGGCGGTAGGCAAAGAGAACAACGTCCATTCAGCCTACTGCTCGATAAAGGCAGAAACACACTTACCCAAAAGTGCACAGATTAAAGAAAATGGGCGCGAGATAAAAACGACCAGAGAGACAACCAAAAAAAAATCTTCTATCTCGCTCTTCGAGCGAAGGAGATCCATGTGACGTTTTTAACACGTTACAAACGACTGGACCGATTTTGATGAAATTTTTTGTGTATGTTCAAGGGGATCTGAGAATGGTTTAGATTCACAATTTTGTCAACTGGACAACCCCTATTTTTTTAGGGCCGTACGAAGTTCGCTGGGTCAGCTAGTATATAAATAATTACTTCAATTCTTTGTTAATTGCTATATACATACATTTTTGTTTTCAATTTATATCTATCTCAATTACTTTATATCGGTTATTAATGATTATGTATTATATTTTAGTGGAAACTTTGTTATCATATGTTTTGTCAACTCGATATAGTATAAGTGTTATTTCTTTGTTTCTTTCCCAAATAAAGGTTAAAAAAAATCAGTTAGTTCTGTAGATAAAAAGTAATCTATGCAATTTAAGACTGAACTTAACCAAATAATGACTATACATTTTATCATTTTTTTTTCAGCGGGACTCATCGCTCGATAGAGATAGTGGGTGAGCAAGTTTATGAAATATTAATTTTATTATTTTTATGGAAATTAAGAAGAAAGGAGATGTTTCATATTTGTATTGGATATTGGGCTAGGTTTTGTGCATAATATTTTAACAGTTTTTTTCAAAAATTAATTATGATATTCAAATCTACAATAACGAATATAATATCAACAACGATAATAATCAACGATAGTTTGGCGTTTAACAAGTCTAGAAAACTTAACGTCACTGTCAGTCAGTATTCTCTTACCAAATATCCAAATATATATGAATAAAAAATATTACCCCATAATATTTTTAAGCTACTTTGTTTTGTTCAGACTTTTTGAGGATGCTTTTGTTTCTTACGCTTTTTTTAATCATTACATTTTTGAACATACTATGTTTCCATCACTAATATTACCGCAGGCTTAATAAAGACATTGTTTGTTTTTTTATTTTATTTTATTCTGGACAACAAACAGTCATGTACATCGATACAATTTTTCTTTACTGTAGCTAAAGTTATAGACCTTGAGTGCCAACACATAAGTCTAAATATACTTAAGAGGAACAAAAAAAACTTAAGGATTTAAGGGGTCATCCATAAATTACGTCACACGAATTTCATGTCTTTTTTGCCCCTCCCCCCGTCCTTGTCACAGCTGGTCACATTTGTAAGACTCCCCCCCTCCCTAGTGTGACGTCACATATTTTGCAAATTTACATTTAGAAATCATTGAATGAAAACAGCGGTTCTGTAATCAGTTTTATTTCCATTTAAATTGTTTTTTCATTATTATTATAATCAAATCAAACAATTAACAAAACAAAAAAATTACCGAACAAAAAGTGATTGACTATGTTAATTAAAGAAATTAACAAAACATAAAATATTAATAGCATTATAATTAAATTAAAGACACAAACTTAATAATCTTGAGTCATTGATCCCACTCCTTTAAATTATTTATAACTGGCATAGCACCACTTTGTTCTCGTTTGGGTTGTTAATGCTTTCGTAAAGTAATAGTTTCAACACTTAGATTTTAATATATTTTGAAATGTGACGTCACGAAATTTAGGACCCCTCCCACCCCTTGTCACACGATGTCACATTTCGTCGACCCCCTCCCTACCCCTTAAAGTGTGACGTAATTTATGGATGGCCCCTAAGTGCTAATTAATAGACAGTTGGTTCTTCAATATAACACAACACAGAACGCTAAGATTATATAATGTTATAAAAACAAAACAAAATTCTAAATTGACATTGCTTTTGATATTCACAATAGCTATAGTTCGCAGTAAGTAAAATATACCTAAATTATAGAGAACAAACAATTAAATTCCTTTTGCTTAAATTGGTTTACACTATTTGAGAAATGGTCAATATTTGCAAATGATGTATTATATGCGGTCAAACTTCGTTGTAAATATGCGTTTGCTGTGTAATTTTTGTTAGATCTGGGAATGGCATATAACCGGTTGGTGCGACGAACACTTTTTGTGGGAATTTGAAATTTAATTTTTTGAAGCAAGTTAGGGGAATCAATAAAGTTATTTAATAATTTATACAAAAACATTTGGTCGAACTGCTGTCGACGATACCTAAGCGGGAGAATGTTCTATTTTTTAATGCAGTCCTCATATGAGGTATAGTTTGATCCAGTTCGGTATGCAAGCGTTTTTACAAAATATTTTTGAATCTTTTCTATCCGTTTACTATGACATTCATAATTAGGGTTCCAAATAATTGTGCCGAACTCGCCGCATTATTCTTCATTGAGACACTAATTATTATTATTATTCTGGGAATGCTCATTGTTTATCCTTTTTTTTAAGAATATGTGAATAGGCCTAGCCCAAAATGAAACATCTCCTTTTTCTACAAAAAACTGTTCAATTTTGAGTCAGACGGGCACTCTAAAGATTCCTTACCACTTACAAGGTTTTGGTTTTCAGTGAACATTATTTTAGTAACCTAACTTATTACGGTTCATGAGAAGTGTTGATCTTTACTTGTGTACTGTTAGAAAGGGATGTCGCTATGTGCTATATATAGCGACATCAAACTCAAACTCATTAATTCAGTCTAGGCTGTTACAAGCTCTTGTGAAAGTCAAACGCTACTCCATCGGTTCGTAAATCTACGGCGGGAGACCTTGTACCGAGAAGAACCGGCAACAAACTCAGCAAGGGCTATTTTTTGACGTGACAACGTCTTAAATTAGGTTGCGGCTGGGAGTCACTTATGAAAAAGTGTAACGCTCGGTAACGTTACGATGAGTCTCTCGTGTTAAGTTTAAGTTTACATGTACAATGTTTTAGTAAACAAAATATATTTCTATAGTTAAAATTTGTGCAATTCTTATTTTCATTCAATTCCTTGTTCCTATTGTGCAATTTAATTATATTCATATCAATAAATATTCTACCGAGAAAAAGACGTTGTCACGTAAAATCTTCGCCCGTAAAACCGACTTTACAGGCAACCATTTTTTTCTCCCTGTTTTGTTTCAAACGGTGTCGTCAATTGAAAGATGACATCAAAAATTGAAATCATGTGTTGATGTCAACTTCCAACACATTAATATTATTAATTAACAAAAGTTAAGTATAGCTAGGTACTATTTTTAAATTTAGAAGTGGCGATTAAACAATTTTCAACCAAATCAGCAAAGTAAAACGACTTTCACCCATATTCTTATTCGCGTCCTCAAACGTTCCTCGACTCTAACTCATTCGAGGGCTCCATAAGGAGTTCCTCCAAATAACCTCGAAAATGATATTCTAGTAGGTATCTTGAACAAACTTGAGCATTCTTCCACTGAGAGTACAAAAAAAGGTTTATACCTTTTTAAGGCATAAACTTATTATATGTGTAAAGTAAAATATCACACAACAAACATAGGTAAATACCTACTTAAAATAATCCTGTCACGTAAAATTTCAAAGCCACCAGTAATTGTATTAAAGGCGGTACAGGTAGTCCTCTGTTATTACAATTTAGTGTAATGCTTAGCAGAGGAAATATTACTTGTATGAATGTATCTCTCTAAACCGAAATCTTCTTTTTAACGAATCATTGTCGTAAACCTCAAAGGTTGTGCGGCGTCACGTAAATACCGCCGCGCCGGATTATATGGTTCGTCATCATATACGTAATCCATAAAATCCACCTATTCGTCAATAATCTCAAAATTCAAATTCTCAAAAAACAACTTGAAAACACCTTAAACACCACTCGAGGAAGCCTTAAGGTACGTCGAGAGCTACCTTGAGTTTGACAGTTTATTCCTCGACTCGACCTCCACTCGAGTGAGGAATATCTCAAGTGAAGGATATTTTTTTGTCTAAGCATACGAATTTCCTCCAATGAGGTTGAGTCGAGTGGAAAAAATCTCGAGGAGACGACTGAGAATATGGGTGTTTGTCTATTATATTAAGCCCAAGGTGACATCCTTTTCTAACTGTACAACAACAGTTAGTTGTCATTCCGTAATACGAGCCCTAGTAATTGTGTTCAGCAGTTTTAGTACGAACCAATATCGAATTCGAATAGCTCTATTAGATCTCCATACGCGTCAAGAGTTCACATGTCGAGAAGTTTTGTATGGAAATTTAAATAGTGCCAAAACGGACGTAAAATTTGATCAAAACGAGTTGCCAATTAAAATGAAGAAATATGAATTTTCGAATTTCTTTTTGATCAAAGTATTTGAAAAAGCCTGTTTGATCGAGTTACTTGAACGTCAATGGCGGTTATAATGCGCATACACATTTTCCCTGTTCAACTGTAAAGTAAAATAAAATTAAGTGCGAGAGAAGTTAGCGGCCAGTGTCATGGTGGGTATAGGTATCGGCTGCTTTTTTTGTTAAGATACTGGAAAATTTAATTTGCTACTTCTTTCAATCCAATCTCTATGTGTAAGGTTACGCAGCAGAGATCATAATGATGTATAATTAACGGGAAATGCCGCTAATTATCGCGATGATGGGCGTTTTTAAGTTACAGCACGTGCGCGATCTGAGTGCAGCTCTGAGGAGCGCGTTGGTGCTCGGGATCACACCTTCAGTTGATACACTGCAGGCTTGCGACGCGGCGGAGTGTGAGCCTAATTTCATACCCCGACTGCACTCAGATCGTTCTTGTAATCCTACCTAGAATATCATCGTTACAAAATTGTTAAACGCTTAAACACGATTTAAAATTAACCGGAGATAAGTAAAGAAATAAAATAATCTGTGTATTTGTTAGCGTAAAAGTAGCTTTTAAACGATGTATGTTTCGTCCCTGCCGGAAACGGATAACAAGTTTCGAACCGTCTTCTTTAAAAACTGGAGACTTGCGATATTCAAAAATGTGACAAGGTCACGTCCTGTATCATCGCGATAATTACCCACATTTTTCGTTACTGTCGCTCTAAGCATAAAAGCGTGTATGTTTGTCTGCACGCGTACAGAGGGTCGCGTAGTGTCCCGCGGGGCGGTCACGTTGATACCGCCGCGTCGCGCCGATCCCGCGCCGCATGTCGCACCGCACGCCGCACCGCACGTGGCGCCGCACGCCGCCCCGCTCGCCGCCGCGGACATCATGGACATGCCCATCGTATTCGCGGACGACGACCCCGCCCCCCCTCCCCCTCCCCCTCCCCCTCCCGCGCCCGACGCTAACGGCGTCAGCGGGGGTGGGGACGGGGACGTGACCGTCACTAGCGGGGCGCCCTTGAAGTACACGCGCGTCATCGTAGCGTCGCGCGGGGGAGGGGCCGGGGCGGGGGCCGGGGGGGCAGGGGGGGAGGAGCGTGGGTCACGGCCGCTGCTTCTGCGGCGCGGGCTGCGACTCGTACACCGTCACAAGTAGAACCCGGGGGCAATCGCCTCGCTCAGGATTGCCATATGGCTGTCGCTATCGGTCCCGAATTCCTTTTGTTAGTTCGGACCGCCGAAGGTTTTCAGATGCCCCAGTCTCTTTTTCTTTTGCATTGGAAATAAGGGGTCGTTCGAGTGTTACGTGAGCAGATTTATTACAATTATTTACCCCCTCCTCCCCCTTGTCAACAAAAGTAAGCGAAGCTCTCACACCTCCCCCTCATCCTTACGTAAACATTGGTACCTATATGCGTTTTTCCTTTAATGAATTCTGTTTTTTTATTGATTCATGAGCTTCATGACCAGCAGTACTTAAAAAGGCTTAATCGATGATGCTGACTTAATCACCATCTCTACACCCCACCTCCTCGAGTCATCAAAAATAAGCAAAGCGGAGACCCCCCTGCCCCCCTATAATGCTTACGTAATACTTGAACAGCTCCTAAGAAAATGAGCATGGAGCGTTTCGAAACCTTCGGCGGTCAGACGTAGCGAAATGAAATTGTGAACGATGGCAATCCCACTAGGCGATCGACCCCAAGCACAGACTTTATTCCCTGACGGAGACATGCCGCGTTTCCTCGTCGATGTATATAATACGGTGCAACCTAGATCTTGGGGGACTTTAAATGGCATTGACGGAAGAGCACCGCTAGACTCGCCTTCCCCAAATAAACAATATGTCACCGACATATGTGATAAAAATTACAAATATTTTGTTAAAATTGTCAGTTTTCCGTATCTTACAAATAAACAGCGCCAACACTACATGTAGTGTTTCCGTAATTAATTACGAAAGCTCGAGAAGAGAAGTTCTCATACAAAAGTTTTATAAAAAACAGTAAAATTTCTCCTTCGATATCACTAATTTAAGATCACCCCACAAGAAACCTTCAGCTTACATACCTCAGCGGCATTATGTCGAATCGGTGAAATAGGGCACTGATGAATAAATAAGGATTGTTAAATATATACATGAATCTTCTCGCTAAAGGAAACCATTCAATTTACAATAACTCTGAACGAGTAATATAAAATACAAAAAAGCATATTAACATCTCCTTAAATAAATAAAAGGGCTTATATACCTTCCTAAAATTAATTCCGCTTTTGCCAGGCGCCACAAGATCTTGGTTCCACTGTAGCGACAACCTTGAGCAACACCAGGCAAATAAACTTGCGCGGGAGACGTTTTTGTATGTTAAATTGCTAATCCGCAGACTTTGTTGTCTATGATCGTTGCACAAGTAGTTTGCTGCGGTGTACACTATGATGTTGTAAAGAATATTTGCAGAAACATTATTAATGTGTTGTAACTTTACTGACAACTATGAAATATGTCTCGATATTAAATCTTTATAATTAATTAATACATATTATTAATACTACCTTCCTAGAATGCTTACATTTATTTTTCAACACAGTCAACTATCGTCATCAGTCAACAAAAGATTGTTTATTTTTTCTGCCAATAATTCTTCAACTGAAGGATTGTTGTCTTATCTGTGTAAGACAACAATCCTTCAGTTGAAGAATCTAAATTTGTAATTTATATAATGTATTTAATTATCTTTCTTTCATAAATTTAAAAAATGGTGAGTAACAACATTCACAAATATGACAAAGGACAAAGAGCAGAATCCCGCAAATATCCTTATGAATTGTAAAGAGCCATAGTTATGTAATGACTATGTGACCGACTTCCTTCCGAAAGAAGGAGGTTACAATTCGGTCGCTATGTATTTTTATGTATTTACACCGATTTTTTGTTCGATGTTCGATGCGGAATAGTTGCATAATTCAGATTGGCCCAGTAGTTTATATTTTATGAGCTAATATCTAATTGGACAATGTAATTTTCACGATACTTTGTACACCAATTTCTTTAAGGTTATTGATCCGATTTGAGTGTTTCTTTTTGTTCGATGGGAAATACTTGCCATTTGGTTCCAAAAAATATTTAGTTTGATCCAACAGGTTTCATTTTATGATCATTTTTGTTTATTGTTTACTTGGACGATGTTATTTTCACCAAAATGGATGTAAAAACAGATTAAACGAAAATAAAAACCGACTTCAAAATAAAAATGGGACTAAAAATTTAAATATTTTTAATTCCATTTTCGATGTAGGTATATTAAAAAATGTATGAACTTAAAATATAATTATGAGATACATCAGATAATGAGACCTAAAAACAAAAACGCCGATTATCCTGTAGAAATGTTTCAAGCCCCATTAACCGACGTGTAAATGACTAAGCTTAAGATGTTCGTGTAATAATAAAATTGTTATCGATGATTGTAATTTGTTACTAGACAATAAGAATCCCTTTGTATTGACAATAAACTAGAAAACTATAAGAGATTGACTTGTTATTAGTACACAACCTGCCCAATCCCTATTAGTGTCCGACAGAAAGTTCGGTTTCGGTTTCGGCCGAGTTTCGGCAGCAGTTTCGGTTTCGGCCAAAATTGGCCGAAACTTTTGCCGAAACCGAAACTGATTTCGGAAGTTGTCGTGCACGCTCGCCTTACTTCGTTTCTCGCACCATATCAGCAGTCCATATCCTATATTGAGAAGTGCAGTTTCCTATATTGAGATGAAGGAGATTGATGATTTTTCTAAGTATAAATACAAACCAAAGTATTAATTAATAAGATTTCAAAATACCAATGGGTATTTAATGAAACAGTAACAATTTGAGAATTGATTATTGATAACTGATAAAAATTTTGCTATAAGAACTTAATTTGAAAAAATAATAAAATATTATTAATATTTTTTTATATTATATTTAATAAATGATTACCTACAACAAAATTAATATACTGTGTTTCCATTTCATGTCCTAATTAATGCTGCATAATGGGTAATTTCAGTATTTTAAGGAATTTTAATCTTGACCACGTGAATTTCGGTTTCGGCCGAAACTGAAGCCACGGCCGAATATTCGGTTTCGGCCGGAAAACCAGTTTCGATCGGATTCTAATCCCTATACGTTCAAAACTATCCGCTGGCGGTGTCTGCGCATACGGAGTGGTGAGGACTGGTGGTTATTGGTGATGACTACGAGTAAGTATGAGTGTGCTGAGATTGATTTCTCTAGTGTTGTAAATTCGTATCGCAGAACACAGAGAGAGGTTTCCTCTTTGGTTGGCATCGATTATGTAGCGAAGGATACCTTGTGTGTGGCATGCTTGGTGTATTCAAGTAAGTAAGGGCGAGTGCTATCGCTAGTTGTACATACTTAATAGACCCCTTGTCTTTATTAATCAGCTCGCGATAATGATATTTTTGTAGTTATAAACGATAATTCTGCAAAATTCGAAGCAAATCATATAAAGTTTATTAATTGGTAAATCACCCTACTTACCCCTATAAGTATTTCGATAATGAAGCTTACAACCAAGGTCCCATCTATTTCTATAAGGAAATTCATCATAATCGATTTAGCTTATAGAGCGCGAAAGCGTAACAAACTAACTTTCGCGTCTACAATATTATTGGAATGAAGTTCCTTATTATACTAGTGTTCCGCCCCGGCATTGCACGGACGAAATTTATTTCAACGGCATAAAATATAGCCTATGTCAATATAAATTTAGCAGTTTTAAAAATCTAGCAGATTTATCAAAGATATTGGGATAACCTATAATCTATTATTTCTCGTAAAAAGTATAGGAAAAAAAATGTTATTGTGGGTTATCCCTAAGAGATAGACATATACCATCACGGACTTTTTAAGGTGTACAATAGTACTGTGTACTGTAATGCCAATTTTGAAAAAATTGCCAGCGTTTGCAATGTAAGCGCAATAAAAACGTGTTTATTTACGACCTTACATTAAAAACCTCTAAAATGATCAGTGTTTCTCTACTATATTATTCCTCTTGAATCACTCTATCTATTAAGAAAACCGTATCAAAATCCGTTGCGTAGTTTTAAAGATCTAAGCATACATAGGGACAGACAGCGGGAAGCGACTTTTCTTTATACTATGTATTGATAATATAGTAAAGCTTTTTTATTTACAAACTTTAGTTACAAATAAAAAAAAATGTTAGTAAGTAGAGTTAGTACGTTAGTTTGAGTTTCTATGAGTTTGTAGCTTTTACCAGAAGGAATCCATACTGTTGTTTAAATCTTACTGAATAATAATATCGTAGATAAGGGAAAAACAATACACTTATAGTTAACTTAGAGCAATTTTCCTAGTTTTTTGGTTAAGAAAAGGCTTGTATTTCTACATTTTAATCAATGATAAGTACTTCGAAATTCCGAGGCCGGCCGCTACGAACTATTCGCCTAAATTAAGAGAAGATACTTTCTATTTTTTTTTTTGACTTCATTTATTTAGAAGAGTGCTGAGTCCACGAGCTCAAAAATCCTTCGCGCATTTTATGAAAATCGATCTTTGCAACTTTGAGTTTAATAAAAAGTTAAGCTATATTTAAAAGCGAGACCGCTACAAAATATTCCAATAGTTATCTGCAGCATTCAATAAGTCAAAATTATTAATGAATTTTGGTTTTTGTTGATCAAGAACGCCAAATATTGCCATTTTTCAGCGCCATTTAGGAACGTTGCCGCAGCTGCCGCCGTTGCTGCAGCCATTCTTGCGAAAATGCAAGAACAAAACCAAGATCGCAATACCAAGACCGATTTTGGGCACTATTTTAAACGCGCTCCTACAAACGAGAACTTTTAACGGTTAATGAAATACACCCCCTTGATATACGAAAATGTTGGATTTTCTCATGTAAGGTGGGACAATTTTTTTTCATACCTACCTCGAAACTTTAGTCGTTCTTCTTAATTAAATTATTTTTGGATTTTCTTAAAAAAAATAAGGCGTCATACATAAAAAAATTAACCTATACGCGTCGACTTCAGAACCTCCTCCGTTTATTTTCGTCGGTTAAAATTGAAACAGTTTAGATAAACTGCCAATGGAGTGTGAAGTTTACGTAGCTGTAGATACGAAGGTAATCCAGTACAATGAAGTAGGTTTATTGATTTCCATGAATTTTTGATACGTTGCGAAGGTTCTGACTGAACATTGCACAGGGGAGAGGGCGTCCCTTTGGGTTTTGCACAAGTAAATAAAATATAAAGCGCCCTTTCATGTTCTCTTACGTTGGCAGCTGAATGAGGTAGTAGACTGCCCAATTTTTTATAACTCCTACCAATTAACCTAGTTCCAAAGTAAGCACTGTAAGGCTTAGTTCATTCATATCGCATGCTGTGGCTACCTTAATTGTAAGTGCAGTAAACTATAAGCAATTTGAGCTTTGTTTGTACCAAGAACTGCTGTAACTTATGTTGGTGGCCCTTACAATAATAATAAAAAAATATATATATGACCGCGCGGTACAAGATTATTACTAATAATATTAAAAAAAAAACGGCTATTATCGTCCACATAACCGCGCGGCGCCTTCCGACCCGCGCGCAAGATCTTGAACCGCGAGTCACCGCGCGGTTAAAGTTCTACGCATCTGTAACGGCCTGGTTCATTTTATCCGCGAGGGCTGAGACAAGAAAATGAGTAGTGAAGACAAGATGATATGCAATATCTAATAGCATCATCACTGGGTTTAAAATCGTTTCCAATACAATCATATAATAAATCCTAGGATGCAACCGACATCCTAAAATAGTTGAAATAAAGGTACTATAAAATAATCTCAGGTTGGGATATAACGTGATAAACAGGATTGAAGAAAATCTTTCACTTAAAATAGGATAAACTCAGTTTCGTCTTTGGCTTCTCACGCTCAGCCTTCGGAATAAAATCGATAAACAAATTGCCTCCTCCATGTCCATTCCTAAATAATGTTGACTCACACTTGAAAGTAATGAATCCGGGTCACATAAAGAATCCTAAAAATCTCGCAAACTAAGAATGCTTAACGAAATAAGTTCTGTTTAAACGACAGTTAAATACTCCTTAAATGAAAGTTATGAGTCACCACATTTTATTTACAAAAAAATACGTAAAGAAAAAACTGGCTGATCTCTCCTTAAAAAACGGAATTTTTGAACAACATTACGCTTTTCTTGAATTTTAATACGTCTTCGTATTGCCTCCTTGTCGATTACACCCAAACCGGTGTTTGGCATGCTGTACACCGACTTTCTTATACGATTTTGGGGAATATTCTCCCATTCCTCTGTCACAGCAATTTTGAGCTCACGAAGCGTAATTTGGGGAGGGTTTCGATTTTTTACGCATCTCCCTAGCTCGTCCCAAGCATGCTCGATCGGGTTGATACCCGGGCTGCGTGCTGGCCACTCCATGCGAGCAATGTTCATCTCTTGAAGGTGAATGACTGTTCACAATCCAACCTGTATGAGGTCGGGCATTGTCATGCATAAAAATAGTATCCTCACCCAAATTGATCATTAATGGACGAACGTGTTCATTCAAGATTTCTTCCACATGTCTTTTGCTAATTAAAGAGCCGTTTTCTATAAACACCAATTCTGTGCGACTCTCAGAAGAAATTCCGACCCACACAACTACAGACCTAACACCGTAGGCTACTTTTTCTTCGATGCATGCCTGCTTGAATCTTTCCCCAGGTCTTCTATATACTCTGTGTCTTCCATCGTGCTTGTAGAGCATAAATTTTGATTCGTCGTCGAACACAACTTTTGACCAATCATCAATAGTCCAATTTATGGTAATATTATGGACACCAGGTTCTGCCTGTTCCTGGTCTGTGTAGCTTAGAGCCAGTTTCCTCGTTACGTTGGAGTACTCTTTTTACTGTTGACAGCGACACACCACAGTCCTGGGGGCCAATCGCCTAAAGGAAATGCTTTGGGAAACGCTAACGCTTACGATTTTATATTGTTATTTCTAGCCGCCTGAGGTTTTCGAATACCTCACGCTCATTTTTTTTAATATTGTTATTACCAATGCAAAAGAAAAAGAAAGAGCGCGAGGTATTTGAATACCTCAGGCGGCTAGAAATAACAAAATAAAATCGTAAGCGTTAGCGTTTTCCAAAGCATTTCCGGTAGGCGATTGGCCCCCTGGCTGTATCGCGCTGTCTCCGGCCGGTTTCCAGCTTTGTGAGAATTCTGGTGCATGCTTCAGGTGTAAGCGACATGATTACAGCTGAAATAATTAATATTGAACACTATCGACATGGTATGAATGATAAATGCCAGATTAGAAACAAAAGCAAAAACAAATGCAGTAATTTTGTAGTTCCATCATCGAAAGTATCCCTTTTTCAAATTTGATTTTATTATGATATGATAGATATTAACAATTAACGTTTTAATATAATCATTTAAGCAGTTTTTAATTGTCTATTAATTATAATTTATTTCATTAAGCTAGTATTCGGAGGTATTAGGATAGTATATTAGTATTAGGAGGAGCTCGATGGCGCAGGTGGTTACCGCGTTCGGCTGCGATAGTTGAAGTTAAGCAACTTTCGCAGTAGTCGGTCATTGGATGGGTGACCAAAAATCTTCTATCTCGAGTTCCTCCGTGTTTCGAAAGGCTCGTCAAGCCGTTGGTCACTGCAGATGCAAGTCGTTAGCACCCGCCAATCCTTACTGGGCCCGCGTGGTGGGTCATCATGGCCCAATCTCACTATTCCATCCATAGGGAAGGCCTGTGCCCCAGCAGTGGGGACATTAATAGGCTGATGAAGAAGCTAGTATTCTTAGTTTGCGAGATATTTAGGATTCTTTAAGTAACCCGGATTCATTGCTCTCAAGTGTATGTATACAAAATACAAAGAAAAGTATTTATTTATTTGTAGAAACAAAAAAAGATCGGTCTGCGAACGTGGAAGTTAAGCAAGTTTCGCAATAGTCGGTCATTGGATGGGTGAGCGGAAACCTATTATCTCGAGTTCCTCCGTGTTTCGTTAGGCACGTTAAGCCGTTGGTCTTGGCTACATCTGCAGTCGTAAGTACCCACCAATCCGTTCTAGACTCGCGTTGTGGGTCATGACCCAATCTATACCATTCATAAGGAATCCTTAGCAGTGGAGACATTAATAAGACTTATAAATAAACAGCCATGAGTTTGGTACAAATGCTAACATTCATCATACAAACATTCGCCCACCGAAATTTGAACTCAGGACCTACTCACTCCTAAAATGCAGGGATAGCATATTAGATAGATACATGTGGATACTATCAGTCAAAGGACTCTATTGTTATAATTTGCCGTACGACCATCCATCACAGAACACAAAGAGGTTTCTATGTTCTGTGCCATCCATGGTACTTGGAACAGCAAAATATAAGTGCCTACTGCTGTTGTTCCATTAATGCAGTGGTTATTAAACTTTTAGTAAAGAGGGACCATTTGTCAAAACTTCCGTCTCGCCGCGGACCACACATAAAGAACCACCGCATTAATTGAACGACTGCAAACTAAACAATATTCATTTATTTGTATCAGTACCATTGATGGTGTCAACGGAACCAAAAGTATTTCAGCTCATAGGCATTGTGTTTTATAGAGTGCAAAGTTGTCAAAGTTAAGGAAGCGAGCGATTCCTTGGGGTAGGTTTGTGATGTACGTAAAGGCTTAGAGTCGGGCGGGGCGCGTGCGCGGCGGCTCGCGGTCGACGGACGGCAGCGGGCGGTCGACGGACGGCAGCGGGCGGGTGGCGGGCGGCAGTAACCGCGCCGCGCCCGCCTCGGCTCCGCGTCCACTGTGTCTGCGACCAGGACATGACCGACCGAATCCTCGCCGCACCAAACAAATAGGATTACAGCACGAGCTGCGAGCTGCGGCTAGTCGCGAGGCCGCGGGACGGGGGGCGGCCGTTTCCGATGCACGGCCGGGCGATTAGGTGGGTGCGCTTAACCTCCGTAGGGCTGAATATTTTATGAAGGCGGCGGCGGCGGCGAGGCAGAGCGCGCCCGGCGTGCAGCGCGTGCCGCGTGAGCGTTCACCCCGCGCGCTACGGCTACGCGTAAACAGTATCGATCGCGGCTCCGCTGCATGCCCGGCCGCGCTACCAGCGAGCCGCCACCACGTTTCCGACGTGCCGCCGCTGCCGCCGCCGCCGCCGCCGCCGCCGCCGACTCCTGGTGCAATCAATCTGAGTTAGTCAATCGCGAACCCGGCCGTTCCGGTGACCTTATTTTAATGTTCGACTCGAATAACCCTCAGATTGATTGCATGCGACAGATGCTCCCCGATGAATGACCCTTTAGTGTTGTTGTGGAACCGAGTGTTGTGCGTAAAGCGATCGTGCGGTGTACACTGTAGTGGTTCCGACAGAAGTAAGTGACCTTCCGCACGCTGCTTACCCTTTTATAGATTTTTTTACCCTCATTTCAGACATCAGACCTAGTTACGATCCGACACAATTGAATGCGATCGAAATAGACTTCACACGCCTCAGTAGAGTGAGACCCTTATCCCTTATTATGCAACGTTCCTAAATAGGTTTGACTTGAAGGCGTCTCCTGCTTAGAAATATTTTTTTCCATAATTTTAATAACAGGTGCCACTTTACTAGCTAATTAGTTGATCACAATCTTAGAATTGTATTAAGTATTTATTTATAAAGTAGTCAACTTTACAGTTGTAAAAAAAAATGTTTAGTTATGAAAGCTACCGTCGTCGTTAATAACAAAGGGTGTTTAAATTAAAAGCCAACACAATTTTAGATAGTAATTCATTAAGTTTGTATAGCTCCACCAGAATCTAACACTCGGATTTGAATAAATTATTTTTTAGGCCAAACCCTAAAAAAATCCTAATTGAAGTAGATACCTAACCAATAAGTTATTACGTCATGGAATAGATAGGTACCTGAAAACCTACTTACAGCAGTGTAGCAATGAACTTACAATGTATTAGGTAAATTATCTAAACAGATAAAGTTTTCCAGAAACCTTGAATCGTCAATATTATATAGTACTTACCTATACTTAAACAAACATTATTTTTTAACTTGCATTTACTAACTTAAATAGACTAAGTACGAATGAGTTAGATACTTATGAAAGAATCTTATCAAACTCTACCAAAAAAATATTTTAGGCTTTAGCTTAAATCAAGACACAGAAACGAAATGTCTAAGCTCGAAATGTTAAAATGTGTGTGTGTTAAACCAAAGACAGCGCGGCCACGACAACCTACAAGTATGCTAGAAACAATAGACTTTGAAAATGAACTGCTTACATATCATGTCGTAAAATAATTTGAATCAATGCAAAAAACCTAGGGATTTAGATAGAACGCGGATAATTAGACAATGATGTTATTAAGGCAAGTATCAACTAATCTGAGAAGATGTGGTTTTAGGCACTCCGACCGACCGGTCAATAAGAGGTCTTATTTATAATAAGTCAAAGATTGTTTTCGCAATAGTTGTGAGGCAACTCGCGTTTTCGTAAATTTTCTATCATCTATACATTTAGTACGAGTTTTACAATTACGAAAACTATGATAATAATTTTCGTGAGCTCGCACTCGTATACTAAGGGTACTGATTTTATTGTTTTCGTTTCAATACAAATAAATAGTGTTTAAATTCTATCATTAAATCGTTTGCGTCTTCTTAAATTTTAAGAATATTTGGTTACTTTCACCAAAATGGACATAGAAACATAATTTACAATTACGAAAACTATGATAGTTTTCGTGAGCTCAAACTTGTACTATGGGTACTGTCAGTAAGATTGAGAAACGTTACCGCTGGTTGTCTAATTATTCGCGTTTTCGATTTATCAAATCATCATACGATACATATAAATAGAAGAAGTGCCTATGTATATCTTTAAGATGGAAGACTTTTTTGACCAATTAACAGGTAAAGACAAGGAATTCTAGCGCCAGCGCCCAGCGGCTGGAACCTTTTCGATCAGCTTGATCCTTTGGCTCTGCGTGAGGTGAGGGGTGTAGCTTCGCTCTGCATCTTCTATAATTTATCACGGGGATTGGTCGTATTCTGAAGAAGTGTTCGGATTAGTTCCAGCTACTACTTACATCGCTCTAAAAATTTCATCCTCATCATCTTAATGGGTTATCTACAACCGTACAATTTTTTCGAAATTCTTACCATGTACGACAAAACTGTGGGATACATTTTCACATACAAATAAAAAAATAGCCTAGCCCCAAAGTAAGCACTGTAAAACTTGTGTTATGGGATACTAGGTAACGGATAGAATACATATACATATAAATGTATATTTATATAGAAATACATATTAAGCATCCCGGTGGGGGCACACGTTTGTGTGATGAATACGAGCATTTGTACTCTACCATGATTAGAGTACAAATGCTCGTTTCGAACACGGGACCTCTCGAGTCGGTACAAACCACTCGGTCACGGAGTTCGTGAATAATTTAAGTCTGATAAGAAATATACCATTTCATAGGTACATTATATTATATCCCATATTTAAAATAAAAGGGCGTTATACCCTCTTCATTTGCCAGCAAAATGTAATGTATTGTTTTGAAAAAAATGTGTCTTTATTATTTATTTTTAACTTTTAGTGTTTTCTGATTGGAAATTTACGGAACGGAGGATGTTTTCAAGTCGACGCGTACATGTGTATAATATTTATTATGTATTTTGATTAATCTCTTTTTATTGGAAAGGATATCTTTTAAGAGTTAAGGGTAATCGACTACAAGTTATGCGTACCCCGAAGTTGGTCCCATGTAAATATGGAAAAAAACAATCTTAAGGGTAGGAAAACAGGGGATGATTAATTATTGACAAAATACTCATCAAGACAAATCAAACGAGTCCAAACTTGATAGGGTTGCTTTGTTTCATTACAGAGTTTCTATGGGCACCTTCTAGTTTTATCATCATATAGGAGTTAGTTGCTTAGCACCATGTTATTGCATCATTAGCAGATTTACATAAGTATGCAAAATTTTTGTTGAATCGGATAACGAGAAGTGGTCGAAGAATTATTCAAATTCAAATTCATTAGGCTTACAGATTTTGAAAGGGGTAGCCTAAATACAACCAGACAGGCACTAAATATGTACAACCAACCACATTAAACTATACGTAATATTTAAATCTCTTTCAATAAGAGGCATGCTACTCACATCCACCCTTATAGGCGTAGGCCAGTGCAGTCCACTGTGCTCCCATTCTATTGTTTTGAACTTTAACAATTTGTTTTGTTTCAATGTTGCGAAGAGTTTCGCTACTCTGTAATATTCCGTAAAAATAGCAATATTGTTTTAAATACCAATATTTTCATCCATCTCAATAGATAATGTAACATTGAGAGAGAATAACTTCTTAGCAATCCATGGATTCACCGTGCTGGTGCCGGGCCCATCGTGTGGGAAATAGAGAAACTCTGAGCAGTTCCTGGGCCTTGCAACCCCATCGGGGACAATCACGTTGCGGGTGCGCGGACAGTCGGCAACGGTTGCCGCGACCACATCCGCACTCCCGGCGCCCATTGGGGGGACTGCGGTCCGCAATGTACGCCGGGTGACCGGTGCAGGAGTATTGTCTGGTTTTTAGTGGCACTGTTCAGGGTGTTTGGTAGGGCCCTGCTCATTTTATCCGGCCTAAGGGCTGGCTGAAATGAGCAGGAAGGAGTCCCACATACCTTCTTCTCGCTCCCCCGGTGGTTGAAGGACGCGTAAAGCATTTTCCCAGACAAAAAGAAAAAAAGAAAAAAAGGGCCTTGCAACCCAGGTGTAGGTTTAAGGAGGTCCCCTTTAAGATGTGCATCAACACTCATCTTCCCTGCTCGAGTTGCCTGCCCTAGGCTTTGATAGGAGTCTGTTAGTGCAGCCTTAGTTACTCGTTCCAAAATTGAACTTACCGCAGTTCACGCCAGGCCGAGGTATTTTAGAAGGTTATAGAGAGATTTTGCTGGTATACCTCTCGCTCCTCCTTCTTGCGCATATAAATTAACTAGATAGCCATTTTTAGTTAGTTCATTGGTTAGATCGTAATATTTATTCAATTTAATAATGTGGTCTTTTGGAATGTTAGTTTCTCATGGTACAGTAAGCTCTAATAGTTTGATGTGCCTAGAAAAGAGGAATATGTCCGTCCTGGATGACGAAACGCCAATATCCTCTGGTGCTTTATAGTGCTTTTCATTTGTTTTCATGCGTATCCATTAAAATAGTCCAGTTAGGTGCAGTACCTAGGATTGAGAAAGGCTAGCTTTTCGAGTTAACAGTTGAGCCTTCTTTTCTAAAGTTAATTTGTTTCTTATTTGTGTTTAATCCTTTTTGGGCTAGCCACTGCAAGACTTGCTGTTTCACATATGACTTCAAGAACTCTATCATGGCGACGTGAGTATTGACCCTTATCAAGGAGCACCTTGCAACCTACCAATGTGTGCTTAGCAGTACAAGTATAGCACGATTTTTCAGAGGCTCTCTCTCAAATCTCACACTGTCATGGTTCCACGCAGTGTTTTGACTTCGACATAGCGTAATTAATGATATTAACAATTTATCTAAAAACATTACTTCAATGAATGAAAATTAAAAGAGAATGCACAACATTTGATTGTTTGAATATGTTTTTCTTTTATTCCGCCAGCGTTATTTTTGTGCCACCGTGTATAAAAACTGTCTGTGAGAGAAACTGGCGTGACGTAATTGTAGATAGGTACCTTCGTCGCGTCGCTTTTGTGACTTTTTCACAAATAAAGTCATAGTTACCTTTCAAATGTTGTGAAATTGATTCAGGTGGTTGTTTAGCGGTTTTGTAATGCAGCCGCGGCCTCCACAAAAGGTGCCGTAACGGCTTCCGCCCGCCCGCCGCCCGCTCACGGCCCACACGCCACCACATCCACCACCACACTACGCCACCACTCCTCACATTAATGC